TCCATTGGGAGAAACAGATGATCTCCTACTGCAAAACCACCGTCATTCTAACTACATGAAAACAACACTCTATCTACATGGAAACTCTGTCAATCTAGGCTCTAGTTGCACAACAAGTAGACATTTGTTGATTTTTTGGTCTTGGTCTTCATTGTGATTGGCATGAACAGAAAATTAGTCTAATGAACATGGCACACAGGGGACTAGGAATGGGAGAGAAAAATGGTAGAGAAAATGGGAGAGAAAAAGGACCCTTGTCTCCTGATTCCCCACTTTTCTTAAAATGCATAGTCACTTTAAAAATAAATCATTAAAATTTATTTATTTATGTATGCAAATCTGACTCTGGACATTGTAGATGAATGAAGTTGTAAGTATGCACAGCATGGATTTTCTTTATTACAAACCTTTGAAAAACACCCTTCCATCAATGTGTACAACTAGATTTGTGGCTTTTTTGCAAGTACAATAATCTCAGCTCTACTAACAAGAGTTGGAAATGGACTATTTCCACAGGTTCAAACTGCATGTATGACCTGTATGCAGATCATCTTCATCAGCATTTTCCTTTGGACTTTTCTGCAACACCAGGAAAGATGATCTGCTATTTCAAATTGATTGCATTGGTGGGATACCTTATTCGCCTCTCCATAGCATCCATTCAGATTGAAGCAGACAATTGCATCACTGACTCATTGACGATTTACGATTCCCTGATGCCAATCAAAAGTAAGGTACTGAATCGGTAGGTATGCCTTTGAACATCTAAAGAAGTCTTATTCAATCTGTTTAATAGAGGGGAATAATTTTAATGTACAAGAATAAGACACCATTTTACCTCTTTTCATCACAGACAATTATCTGTCTACTAATAGCATGAGCAGGATTCTGTGTGTTCTGGTGTTTAGTCATGCCAGCCACATTACCAGGGAAATGTCTTCAGACAGTGCTGGCTCTTCGGCTTTGAAATGGAGATGAGCACCGCAACCCTAGAGTCGGATTCGACTGGCTTTTGAGCAAGGGAACCTTTACCTTAATAGCATGAGCTAATTGTTTCCTTGAAACATAGATTTGAATGAATAGGGAGACATGTCAGTAAATTTAGTCCCATATAACATAATTATATTGCGTGATCACTGAAGACATCAGGCCATGTGCTCGAAAGAACTAAAATGGACAAGCATTGATGGATCAGAATCTCATTGGAACTATGTTCTATCAGAAGCTCCAATGGATTAAATCACTGCTTTCATTGCAGCTATTTTTGAACTGTGTACAAAATTAATCACAGCTAACAATGGATAACAAAGACTTGGAACCCTAGCAGATGAAAACTTCTCTGTCTCTTATTTCCCTGCTGCAGGCTTCTGTGGCCCCTAAACTGTGTTCCTGTGGTCAGTGTATCCACAGGAACTGTGTGGAGGATTGGGGCAGGGGGAGAGAGAAGGAATTGGCAGAAATAGCCATTCCCTCCTCCACCAATGGAAATGCTATTTCATCTTTACCTTGGCTTCCAGAAAGCTTTTGATAAAGTTCCTCATCAAAGGCTCCTACGTAAGCTCAATAGTCACGGGATAAAAGGACAAGTCCTTTTGTGGATCAAAAACTGGCTAATAATAGGAAATAGAGAGTGAGCATAAATGGGCAATTTTCTCAGTGGAGGGTGGTAAGCAGTGGGGTACCACAGGGATCAGTACTCGGTCTGATGCTTTTTAACTTGTTTATTAATGATTTGGAGTTTGGAGTAAGCAGTGAAGTGGCTAAATTTTCAGATGACATAAAGTTGTTCAAGGTGGTGAAAACCAGGGAAGATTGTGACACACTGCAAAGGGATCTGTCGAGGATGGGTGAGTGGGCGTTAATGTAGCAAATGGGGTTCAATGTGGCCAAGTGCAAAGTGATGCACATTGGAGCAAAAAATCCTAAATATAATTACACATTGATGGGGTCCAAACTTGCAGAGACTGACCAAGAGAGAGATCTTGGAGTCATAGTAGATAACTCAATGAAAATGTCTAGACAGTATGCAACTGCAAAAAAAAAAAAAAAAAGGCCAACACTGTGCTGGGGATTATTAGGAAGGGAATTGAAAACAAATCAGCCAGTATCATAATGTCCTTGTATAAATCGATGGTGTGACCTCATTTGGAGCACTGTGTACAGTTCTGGTCACCACACCTCAAAAAGGATATTATAGCTTTGGAAAAAGTGCAGAAAAGGGCAACTAGAATGATAAAAGGGTTGGAACACTTTCCCTATGAAGAAAGGTTAAAGCGCTTGGGGCTCTTTCGCTTGGAGAAATGAAGGCTGAGGGGTGACATGATTGAGGTTTATAAGATTATGCATGGGATAGAGGAGGTAGAGAAAGAAGTACTTTTCTCCCTTTCCCACAATAGAAGAACTTGTGGGCACTCAATGAAATTGCTGCACAGTCAAATTAGAACAGATAAAAGGAAGTACTTCTTCACCCAAAGAGTGATTAACACATGGAATTCACTGCCACAGGAGGTGGTGGCAGCTACAAACATGGCCAGCTTCAAGAGGGAATTAGATAAACATAATGAGCAGACGTCCATCACACTTGTTTTGATTCTTACTTGATTGGTGAAGTTTTATATAGTGATTTTCACCAATGAATCCACTTTTTCTCCATCATAGTAAGCAGACAGAGGCAGTGTCCCTGCTTTGCAGCTTTGGAGTGAATCTGAAGCTCATAATCCACTTAATTATGGGAGATTTTGTTTTCTTCCTGTTTCAGAGCTATGCAGTGAGATGTATAGACTAACATGAACAACTCAGGAAGACAAAAAAGGGATCTTGGCTCATTTCATTGTAATGAGAGATAATGTGTGTGTGTGTGTGTGTATAAAATTATTTTTGAATTTATATTCCACCCTCCCCACAAGTGGGATCAGGGCGGATCACAAAGTCATTCGACATCATAGTATAAATACATTAAAAGACATTTTAAAAACAGTTACGAACAACAATTTATAAACAACAATTTAAAAATAGATTGCACTATTTGTCTATACACACAATTTTCAGAGTTGGTACTGCTAGGTCTCTAAGATCTGCTTGCTCTGGGCCACATCGAGTTTGTGAACTTCAGCTATATATATCCAGGAGAAAATATTTTTTTCTGGTGGATACAAAGAAAAATGCTTGTTGTAATAAGGCTAATAATGGCTAAAATATTTCATCTTATATGTTAAATAAATAAAGTGTTCCATTTGTTTCAGAATTTGTGAGCCAACCAACTCACTTATATCTTTTGTTTCTACAAACAATATGATGCTGGTTACCCTGAAGTCCACAAAAGTGGACACAGTGAAAGAAATCCACAGCTCTTTTGAAGTGATTCCACAAGAAAGTATGTGAAAGTCATAGCAGTATAATAAAGGTTGCATTCCCTATTTGAAATTCTCACACCTTCATTAATTAAAGGATGTCAAGCTCTTTTTAAATCTTCTCTGACAACCTTTTCCCACTTCTACAACTGTTTCCTCTTTGCCACCAATCACCTGCCTTCCTAGAGTGTTTTCTTCAGATTTCCAGATTCTGTGGTACTCTTAGCTATACTTGGGTCAGCAGCATTGCTTATGCTCTAGTGAAGAAGTATATTTTCTTAGAACCATCTTTTATGAAGTATCTTCAATGACAGTATAATAGATTCCGGGGTGTACATATCAGATCATAGGGTTGGATCCCTGCTATCGATTGTACATTCTTTCAGCTTCTTGCATCAAAGTAAAACATCTTGGGATCCAACCAAGCAGTGCATTCCAAGCAGGGAAAGCCATCAGGATGTAAAACAACAGTATATGCAGTGGTCTACCATTGCAGAAATAAGACATGTGCCTTGTGCTCCATTATGCCAGTAGATGGAGTAGTTGTTACATGCACACTCAGTGTCAACAATGTCTGTAAGGTTTAAAAATTCACATTCATGTCAATGTAATGTACTGATGAGGGCATTCTAAAGTAATGAATCAAATTGTGGTAGGGCACACTGCCTCCTGCTCCACTGCTTTACCAGTGTCATACAAACAGGCCAGAGCTAGGAAATCAGAGGACAAAATGAGTAGTATTCTGAGATCTACTGTGTTCTGGATTTGCTAGTTTTCCATTTCCACTCATTCCCCCCCCCCCATTGTGTTGATATATAGTTCTGAACAACTTTTCTTTTGGGGGCTGATTTTTGGTTTATTTCAACAACAACAACAACAACAACAACAACAACAACAACAACAACAACAACAACAACAACAACAATAATAATAATAATAATAATAATATAGTGTAATGTTTCTTTTGTTATTAGAATGTGGCAAAGCTATCCAGGCATTAGGAAGTGCTGGCTTGGAAGGGAGAATCACAAGTCCATATTACCCAAGTTATTACCCTCCAAAATGCATTTGTTCATGGAATTTCCAGGTAACACTCCCCCCCCCAATATATCATAGAAATGTTGATCCTGTTCATTGTGAAGTAATTGCACATTTTATAGTCATTCCTGTATGCTTTTGGACTGCAGCTGGGGGAGCATGTGTTTGAATGTCCCCCCCCCTAAAGAAAAAAAGTCCTCCCTGCTCATGGTAAACCATATTTTAGAAATATATGCTGCCCCGATGTACCAGTTTTCCATTACCAATAGTTTTTTAAAATCTAGTCTTATTACCCTCTGAATTTTTATTCCAACCTTCTTACAAGGAGGATCTACCTCATTTTATCTTCACAATGATCCTATAAGGTATGTTAGGCTGAGAGCGAGTGACTGGCCCCAGGTCACCCCGTAAGCTTCATCATAGTTGAATGAAGTTTTGAACCTGGCTTTTAGTGTTAATGCAGAATTCTGACTGTTGCACCACAATGGTTACTTTTTCTGACAAGACAGATTCAAAGTACTATCTCCCATCAGCATCTCAAAGAGGTAAAGTACCAGAAGGTATCACATAACCCATCTGAGGACACAGATAAGCATGGCTTTGAGGAGTGAGCCATATCCAATGTAAAGAATACGGTGTTCTTTTCATCAGCACAGGCCTTAGAGTCATTGTGATGCCTGAAGGAGAAACTATAAACGGCTTCAAACATGCTAAGACTTCAAAGCGCCACAGTGGCACTTTCCAACAGCCATTGTGATTATAAGCTCTGCAATTCTATTTCTCACCATTGTCAACATGTTAAACTATTGGCGGTACCCAAGAAAGCTGCACAAAATGGAAAACAGAATTTTAGCATTCCGTTTGAACTAAACCCTAAACTAGACAACAGCTCCTAGCAGAACATTCTTAAACATTCACTAACCAACTACATGTTGGCCTTCATAAGAATCAAACTAATTGTGGTGGCAGCATATCCAACAGTAGTGCAGCTATAGAATTTTTTCTGCACTGGGACACTAGAGGGACATTTTCTCTTAGCCCATGGGAGCTTACAAAGCATGCCTACAAGGTCATAAAACAGGGTGAGTTGTCCAACTAGGTCACCCAAGATTGTAGGGCAGCACAGAAAGGATTATGTCAATGCACTACAGGGGTTTAGCTCACTCCCAGCCATCAACAGTATGGGAAATTGCTGCATCTGCACTGGGGTTTGGCTGGCAGCGGCATAGGCCCAGGATGTGATAGTTAAACCTTGCTTGAGATGATGACCTGAAAATGATTCTGCCAGTAGATAGAAGTTAAAAAGGCAGTACAACAAATTATAATACAGTATCATTGGTTCTAAAGGATTAATACGAAATGATTTGTCTCTCAGAGACAAATCAGTTTATGTTCTAACTTAGGACATGTCCCCTTCAAGCCCACTGAAACAGAATAGTCTGCAAAAAGCCCTGCAGAAGGCATCAGTGATGCAGTTTCAGAAGAGCATTCAGCAACACGGGGACATCAAGTGAAGAAGGCCAGGGTTGGGTTGTGAGGTCTGGGCAGGGGTCTCCCACTTTCAGATGCTCCCCTCCACCCAAATTACCCCCTCTTACCACCGAAAAGCCAGAAATAACTGCAATGCGCATATGTAACCTGGAAGTGCTGTAGGCATGTTGGGGGCATCAGGTGGCACCTCTCTGGTTTTGGGACAAAACTCTATGATTTGTAGCTAATTCTACCATAGAGTTTTGCCCCAAAACCAAAGCATCGCTGCCCAACATCTCTGAGGTGCCTACATCACTTCCTGTGATGCATTGTGGCACTCATCCCTGCTCCTGGAAAGTTCCCTCCTACCCCCCACCCCCGCCAGTGCGTAATTGGGACATGGCAACTCTAGTCCAGGGATAGAATGGGAAAGAATGAGTGGGGTGGGAAACTGAAAGCAAGAATTGCTACAGGAAGCATAACTGACACATGGATATTTCAGGACACTCTGGTTCTGAGGTTTAAAATTCTTCTCCAACCCTGCCTTTAACTTTATTATAGTAAGGTGTAGTTCCACCCTGAAAGTCTTGATTTAAGAAGTCAACAAGAGTCACAATGGTTCATCTAGTCCAAAATCTTGTTTTCCACTGTGGTCACTGAAAAAAGGGAGCGGTGGCGCAGGCAGTTAATTGCCTGCTACTAATAACATCTACGAACAGCTGTACAGCTGTTCAATACCCGCCGCGGCCAGATTGAGCACCTGGCCCTTGTCCCAGCTCCCACTAACCCAGCGGTACGAAAGCGCCATTAATATCAAAATAAGCGCAAGTAGATAAATGGGAACCTACCTTAGATGGTAGGGGGCACCCTCCCCCATCGTGGGGGTCGTTGGAGGGCCGGAGCTCAGCGGACGGCGAAAGCAGCGAGCGGCGAAAATGGCGTCCGGATACATCGGTGGCGAAATCAGACGGCGGTGGAGAAGGCGGAGCCGGGATGACGCACGAGCGTGGCGGCGCAGGCGGGGCGGAGCCGCGAGGGCAGAGCCATGGCCACGCCGAGCATGCCGCGCGGCAGAAGGACCAACCAATCCACTGCTGAAAGGATCGCCAGAAAAAAAGGAGCCAGAAGCCACAGCTGAAGATGACGGAGCCGACCCGAGGAAAAAAAAAGAATAACCCCCCTCCACTGGGTGCCGGTAGGGATGTCCCCACCCCTAAGAATTGTGGCCATAGGTTAGGGATAAGGAATAACTGTAGCTGCTCAGAGACCCCTTCGGGGGTTAGAGCGGGGTAGCAAGCCAAATAAATAAATAAATAAAAGGCCAAAATCTCATTTGAAATGTAGTGTTGGAGGAGAGTTTTGTGAATACCATGGACCACCAAAAATACCAATGAACGGGTTCTAGATCAAATCAAGCCTGAACTCTCCCTAAAACCTAGAATGAACAAACTGAGGCTCTTGTACTTTGGTCACATTATGAGAAGACAAAATTTACTGGAAAAGACAATAATGCTAGGAAAAGTTGAAGGCAGCAGGAAAAGAAAAGACCCAAGATGAAATAGATTAACTCAATTAATGAAGCCACACCATTCAGTTTGCAAGACCTGAGCAAGACTGTTAACGATAGGATGTTTTGGAGGTCATTAATTCATAGGGTTGCCATAAGTCAGAAGCAACTTAACACACACACACGGCCCAAATCTCCTCCCTGTTATTGCTCCCCTCACTTTGATTCACACAGTTTTTTCAAAGTACCTGAAAAAAGAGAGGGGCAGATGATCACCAGGTATTTCTCAGTTGGCCAAGGCTACCAAATTCCTCCCCCTCTCATAAAGGAATGCATATGTGAAATGGTCTAGTACATATATATGTAAAGGAAATAGTGTCTGAACATTGTGACACGAACTGCACTAGCACTTTATATTATGTTATGTTTTATAGTTATATTGTTGTGATTTTACTGAATTTTGTGTCTTAGTTGTTTTATACATCCTATGTAAGCTGCCCTGAGCCTGCCCTGGCAGGGAGGGCGGGATATAAATTAAACAAACAAACTAACTAACAGATTTTGACAGTACTGCACTCCTTAATCTTTGATTTGCAGGTTGCCAATTGCATCCCTTTTGTTCCTTTTCTGGAAATAGATTGTTCATTCAGATTGTAGCTAGGAACAAATAAATATACTCTTTCTGTTTTTGTTAACTATATATTTTTTAAAAATCCTATTGTAGAGGAGTTTCACAGTTCCACTTTGGCATCAGTTGGAAACGGATCTCTCTCTCTCTCTGTCTCTCTCTCTGTCTCTCTCTCTCTCTTGAGGTGAAATCACAAGACTCTGAGCTCTTTGATCTCAGCACAAAGCCTGAATGGTGTGCTCTCTCTCCCTCTCTCTGGTCAAATAGCTGTAGTGGGAAATGAAAGGTTTCCTTGTAAGGGGCTGGAAAGCTGCACCTGCTCTTGGCCTGCACCATCATGGCCTTTCTCACCAGACTCTCTGATGTGCTGGCAGCTGAGCTGTGGCAACCACTGTTGCTTCTTGAGGTTTGGCACACAGAGACCAGCAACTGCTCCTGGACTGACTACCTGTGGCCCAATGCTGAGGCCCAAGCATACTAGCCACTGACCTGGATGGTTTCTCCTTTGCTCCTTGCTATGATGTGATATGAGTATCAGAGCTATTTAAGTTTGCTCAGAAAAGGCACTTGCAATAGAGTTCAAGTGAACACTAGTGTTGATTAAACCCTGGCAGTCACAGATGGAGGGTGGATAACACATTCTAAAACTGAATCCAGACTAGACAGAGGTGATGGTAGCTATCGAAACTGATGTGCTGGAGAGGATTGGCTTGTCTATTTTAGGTGGAATCAGGTTATTTCTGATTGGTCAGTAAAGCAATTTGGGGATACTTTTAGAGCCATCCTTGTTTTTTCAATGGTGAGTTCACACTTGTCAAAAAGTTTCTTTGTCAGTTGCATCTGATCTGGAAGACTGCTTCTCTTTTGCATCCTTCCACCAAGTCTTCTTCCAACAGAGAAAGACTTCCTTCAACAAAGGAAAACTTTTCTTCATCAAAGGAAGTATTTTCCATCAAAAAAGTCAGTCTCCATTGGAGGCTTTCCCTGTTGAAGGAAGTGAATAATTTAAATATAATTTAAATATATTTCTTCCATACAGACTCCTCAGAAGAACCTTGGTATAGCATTGACATTTCATAACTATACGATCAGTGAAAAGAGCATTAAAGGCTGTGAGCATGGATGGTGGAAAATTAATGAACGTATGTAAGTATCTAATAGTACAATCCTAAGAACACTTTTCTGCGATTAAATCCTATTGCGCAGCACTGAGTATGATTCTGAATAGACCTGGTTAGGATTGTTCTTTAAGAGGTAACCATGTTGGGAATTTTGAGGCAAGGTGGCAGGTGCCACTACAAAATGGCTGCCACAGGAAGCAGAGGAAGGGGGTGGGAACACACACACAGAAGTAGGTGATCACAAATAGGGAATCACACACAAAGGAAGGGGATCACAAACACACACAGAACCAGTCAGGGAAAGGAAGGATATCACACACACACACGAGAGAGAGAGAGAGAGAGAGAGAGAGAGAGAGAGAGAGAGAGAGAGAGAGAGAGAGAGCGAATGACCAAAGAGGAAAAGGTATGTTCTCCAATTAGCAGTGGATAGGATCCAAGTGAAAAGCTTTACTTATATGGAGGCAGCCAGTCACGGGTTTTACCTTCACAATGGCCCTGTCTACATTCCTGAACCATATGGTGAGTACTTGGGGAACTGTCAGTGAGTGCTACAGTACCCAGAAGCATCACATTGTAGAACATTACAAGACTTTGTTTTGTATGAGCATAAGTTACCCAGTTGTCTAGCCATGTCCTCTGAGGGAGCCAACATGTAGGAGGAGGCAGCATATTCAGAAAAAAATTATGGCAGTCATGAGAAGACAGAAGACCAAAACAGCATTTTGAAGTAATTATGTATTAAGAATCACATTGATAGTAATTTTTAATATATATATATATATTTCTCAGCAACACCTGAGTAGCATGTCCAATGTAATTCCACATGTTGCCAAATCCCCACCGTGCAGAGGATCCAAGAACACACACACTCTGCTGTGGCAGCAGGGGTGACATGTTTGTAGGGCAAAAAGTATCCTGAGGCAGGCTGACTCACCTCCAGAGGACAATGAGTTGATGGTTCTACTGGAGGTAGACAAAGAGATGGGAGAGGTTTGATGGCTCTACAAGCACTGCACAGGAAGGTTAATTGGGAAGGTGAATAGACTTAAGCATTAATTAATTGCCACTTAATGAAGGGTAATGGGTGAAGGGGTGGTAGCCAGTCAGCCACTCTGACTCGCACCTTGAAAAATGATTTCCCAGGTTGATGCCTGACTGGCATCCATTTTGGTTTATTGTGGCCCAAGCAGTGCCCTGCACTTAAGATATCGGGGTGATGTTTAGATAGGCATTTCTGGCTTGTTAACCTATGAACTGCCCCTCAATGGGAGGAGGAGTCTGACTGTTAACATTGGCACCTGTGTTTGAAAATATACAAACATCCTAAACTATGAGACTTCAGAAGCAAATTCAAGCACACAGCCATACAACTACGCATAAAACATAGAAATATCTATAGAGGCTTGTATGGAGAAGTGAACAATTCTTTGACTAACTTTATACACATACACACTCCAAATGATATGGCATTTTTGAAAAACTTAATATTAAACAAGGTGGAAAATTTGTGTTGCATAAAAAAACTATTTCCCCCAAATGCTGATAACACTTAAGCAGACATAGGGGAATTTTACATTACCCAGTTTCACCCGGTTTCAAGCTGGTAATGATCCGTTTTGAAGTGAACTGGTATAGGGCTGCCATTTCACACAGGGCTTTCCCCTTCAGGTAAAGAGCTGGATCTGAAGCGGTTTGCCATTTCAGACTGCACCGCTTTTCCCCTGCTGTTTTTCGCCCATGCGAGCGATCTCCGGCTTTTTAAAAAACATTCGCTTTATAGCGCTATAGCGCTATAGCAGTATAACAAAACACTCCATGCATTCCAATGGAATTGATATAATGCTATTCCGTTATAGCGCTATAATGCTATAAAGCAAATGTAAAAAAAAAAAGGCGGAGATTCCCCGCGCGGGCGAAAAAAGGTGGGGAAAAGCGCATCGGAACCGGGAGAGGAAACTGAGGAGTACTTGGAAGCAGTTGACAGGTAAAACGCTTCAGCCCCGTTTCCTAAACGGGACAGAAGCGATTGTGTATGAAATGACAAATATATTCCGGAAGGGAACCGGTTCTCAAACGGTTCTGTCTGAAATGACAGACCAGAAACCGTTTGGGAACCGTTCCTCTTCCGGAATATATTGCCTGTCTGAAATTCGTCATAATCTTTGCTGGATTGAGAAGGTTATAAATACATTGGCTGGAATCCAAAGAGCTACTTCTACGTGGCCCATGAGTTCTCTTTGCTTGTGTTTTTTCTCCAACCGTAAGTCCTTTACTGCAGTGCACAGCACTGAGCCTGCTCTGGTGGGGAGGGCGGGGTATAAATCAAATAAATAAATAAATAAATAAATAAAATAGTACACTATTTCTGAGACTGAAGCACAATGCAAACAGCTTCTGAAGGTCCCCTCAGTCTCAAACCTCACTCCCCCCCAAAGCACCTCACTGTGAAGATGCCTAAAGTCCAATTAAAACAGTAAACAACCCCTCTGGTCATGCCCTTAGTTGCCAAACCTACCACCACCCTCAGGGAGACCAGCAAGAGGTGAACTTGCCGACTGCAAAACTGTCATCTGTCCTTCCCCCCACCACGAGGAAGGGAAGGAGGGAAAGTGCCTGCCCCTTCCTGCAGAAGACGGAGGGAAGGAGTAGGCTTCCAGTGGGCCTCTGCCTCGTGTGTCTTAGGCAATCACAAATGTGTGTTTAGCAATGCTCCCTCTAAGCTGTGGAGTCTTGTTAGCAAAAAAACTACTTTGTAAGCTACTGGTATTAAAGCTGTGAGTGAGTAATTGACTACTGCATAAATTAGTTTGCTCTGAAGCCATCCTTCCTGAGCTAAGACAAAAATGTGTGAGCCAGAGGCTAAAAAACTGTGAGCTAGCTCACACTAACTCAGCTTAGAGGTAACACTGGTGTTTAGTGGATGGGCCACCCCTCGGCCCACATACTATTCAGAAAGAACAGTCTATTCACTAGAAAAAGTTGTACCTGGACAAAATGCACATAGAATATATGTTAAATCTGGGAGGAAATACACATTGACTTGATAATATTAAAAGACACTATCTTGCTGCTTTGGTAACATGAACAAATATCTTTCTTTGACCAAAGACCACTATTTCTGATATTTATTAATTTATTATTCCCTTATTTACTTCATTTATACCCTGTCTTTCTCCACAATGGTGGGCCAAAGCATATTACATTGTTCTGCTGCCATCCATTTTATCCTCGCATCAACCTTATGAGGTAGGTTAGGCAGAGTGTGTGTAACTGGGTCAAAGTCACTCAGTGAGCTCCTATAGCAGAGTGGGATTCTGAACCTAGGGTTGCCAATCCCCAGTTGGGGGTAGGGGATCCCCTGGTTTGAAGCCTCTCCTCCTGCTTCAGGGCTGTCAGAAAGCCGGGGAGGGTGCTCCATTGTACCCTATGGAGACCAGCCCCATTAGGGTATAATGGAGAACTGATCTGTAGGTGTCTGGGGGGCTGTTTTTGAGGTAGAGGCACCAAATTTTCAGCAGTGCTGATGGTGCCTCTCCTGAACCCCCCCCCCCAAGTTTCAAAAAGATTGGACCAGGGGGTCCAATTCTATGAGCCCTAAAAGAAGGTGCCCCCATCCTCCATTATTTCCAATGGAGGGAAAGCATTTGAAAGGAATGCTTCAGAGTTCAATCACCTAGTGACATCACATCTTTGTCACATCCTTGCTCCTGGCTCCACCCCAAAGACCCCAGATCTCTCCTAAGTCGGACCTGGCAACCTTATTTGAACTTGAATCTCCCAGTTTGTAGTCTGAAACTCTAACCACTGTACCTCTCTGGCTATCACTGGGTAGCTGCTGTTGAACAGTAGCAAGCACCTGGGCCTGGGTTAGTTGTGGAAGCCATGTGATATCAAGTTACTTAATAGTTGCTGCCAGGCCTGGCTGTAGTAAGTCCTCCTTCAAAGGCCAAAAGAGCCCAGGAAAGGGCCCTGACTCCTCCTTTGACCTTTTCCTGATAGAAACCAAGATCTAGGGGCTGACAATACTGCTATGATGGCTTAGGAAGAAGAAGAAGAGGAAGAGGAGGAGGAGGAGATTGGATTTATACCCCGGCCTTAACTACCCAAAGGTGTCTCAGAGCGGCTTACAAACTCCTTTCCCTCCCCCTCCCCACAACAGGCACCCTGTGAGGTAGGTGGGGCTTGGAGAACTCTTGACGGAAATTGCTCTTTTTCAAGGACAGCTGTGCCAGAGTTATGGCTTGCCCAAGGCCATCCAGCCAGGTGCAAGTGGAGGAGTGGGGAATCAAACCCGGTTCTCCGGGTTAGAGTCCGCACACTTAACCACTACACCAAACTGGCTCACCAGGAATGGATGCAGAGGATTCCCACTCCTTAAAGCTACAGGTGGTCCTTTTATCATTTAGGGGATTTTTACCCCTCCCCCCAAGTTTGTTTGTGTGTGTGTTTCTGTAGATTTCACAGTTTTGTGCAAACTTGGTTGTTTTTTGTTTAGGTTTGTAGAAAGCTCTGTCTTGTCTATCCATGGCCTTAGTCTCCAAATTTAAGTATTCACAGATGGGACCATGTTGAGAATTATATATATATATCAATGATAATATCCTTGCTTATGTATTGAGGAAAGATGTTCTGTATCCCATGTTAACACTAATTCATCTTGTAGGTACTGTGGCTATTACATTGCTCATCAAACAATATTCCGTGTTGCAAGCTTTGTGGTTAATGTTGAGTTCCAATGTAGTTCCAAGCTTTCAGAGAGGCCACTTCTGGTGGAATATGTAAACTACAACATCAGCCAACGTAAGATCAGCGTTAAACTTCCTTTGCACTGCACAAAAAACAGATTAATGCAGTTTTAAATGAAAACACCACAAGCTATTATGAAAATGCATAGTAATGCCATGTTCTGTGCCATGGAGGCAGTTTTAAAAAATGAAGATTTTTTCCCACCTTTTCCTGTGTTCTGCTTTGAAAAATTGATAGGATTACTCTTTTCTATAAACCTTGTGTTACAGCCTCAATCCAAAATTATTCCACAACAGCTAGGGTTTTTTTTTGTTAAAAAAGAGAGCTATTGAGAGATCTAATTTTGTATTTCTCACATCTCTTCTAGCTGCCCGCTTGATCTTAGACATGTCTACACCAAAATCCTTTTGTGCTATTCAGGTTGTTTCAGTTTTGATTGGATCCACCCTTTGTCATTTCTTTTGTCCTGCATTTGTTCCTGTGCTGTTTACACATGCAGGCATCCACAGAGTGATAATGATCAAGATGTAAAATGTTACTTTAAATGTACCCAGTGCCTGGGGCATGTTCAGTTGAAATTTTTTACCATTTCTCTGTATCGGCAGACAATCCTCTCCCCATCATATCACAAGCTGCATATGAAAAACTCTTTAGAAGAAAGAAGTTTTGTTTGTGACATTTTAGTGTTTATGTGTTAGAGTGGTGGGATTGAAGAAACAGGTTCAGATGTCTATTGGACATGCAGAGAGAATTACACAGTTCTTTGGATCTAGGTGTTTAAAAATTATTCAGAATATCCCACCATTCAGTTGCAATGGAGCTCCAACTATAAAATTTCTATAAAACTAAAATAAGAATAAGTGAATCCTGAAAAAGCAGTAGCAAACAAATCAGTTGTTAAAAACACAAGCAAATAAGACTATCATTATCCAGTATCTGAAGAACAGTAAGAAGGTGCCTGGTAACTGACTCTGGAGAGCTATTTTGTAAGTGGATTGCCTTAACCAAAAAGCAGATATGGGAATCAGTGGGCTTTTGAAGATAATCTGAAAAGGCCAATGTGCTTGGGGGGGTGGGGGAAATGCACCATCTTAATTTAAAGCAAGGAACAATGTTTCTCACATTGTCTAGCCAGAACTGCAAATTGGCCAAATCTCATTTCAGTTCTATGTGGGCAGAAAAGCTGTTTTGTTTAAAGAACAGCTGCTGCTGCTGCACTGATTGAACAGCACCTTATGATGCAAGGCATTGGTAGCTCATCAATACTTCTTCATGAGGTTTGAACTTTCCTGTAAGGAATTCAGAAGTACCCTAATTAGGGACACTGGGCAGACTGTGCCTGATCTTTCCACTGTGTTCTGGAACATTTCATAAGAAAACACCTGGTTCAGATATGTACTTTGCACATCACCTTTGATAAACTGGTATGCCAGCTTTGAACAGAATTTTTTTCTTATCACTGTTGAGGGACGACAGATTTTTAATTTCAATTTTTAACTAACTCTAGAAATAGTATTTCTGTGAAAGCTGTTCACTGCGCACCATTTCCCAGGAGGTTTGTGTGTACAAGTCCCATTGCAATAAATGGGTGTATCTTGCACTGCTTGCATTAATTTCAGCAAGGCATATGCAGAAAAACATCCAGACAAGTAGTTTTAAATCATAATAAAGAGGACTGCTGGGAAAGCTAGAACTCACAGCTCTTCCCTATCTTGCCTTTAGCTTGTCCTCATGGATCTTTTGAGTGCCACACTGGATTATGCATTCGCCAGGCTCAACGCTGTGATGGGATCAATGACTGCTTTGATGAAAGTGATGAGCTCTTTTGTGGTTAGTACTTAGTCATATGAAAAAATGAAACAAAACATGAAAATTGAATTATCCTTTAAATTTATGTCTGCTGTGGCTTTCCTTAAAGATTTGCTGATTCTCCCCTCCTTTCCTGTTTTAGATGTGTCCAAACAAAGCTGCAACACCAGCTTTTTAACACAGCAACATTCCCTTTTCTGTGATGGAATCATTGACTGCAAAGATGGTCAAGATGAACAAAGCTGCACTGAAAGTGAGATTCCCCCCCCCCCATAAGCACATGTCGCAGTTTTACACATCTCATGTTGGCCTCTCTGTCATAATTTATCTTGCCTTAATCATGAATTCACTAAGTGCTCCTAGCAAACCAGCAGTCGGCAGTCCTTAAGAACATAAGAAGAGCCCTGCTGGATCAGATCAGTGATTCATCTCGTCCAGCATCCTGTCTCACACAGTGGCCAACCAGTTCCTCTGGAGGGCCAACAACAGTGCATAGAGGCTGAAACCTTCCCCTGATGTTGCCTCCTGGCTCTGGGTTTCAGAGGTTTAGTGCCTCTGAACGTGAAGGATCCCCTCAGTCAGTTCAGTTCAGTTCGATTTATGGCCAATGGCTGTTACAAATACAATACAATGCAATGCAATACAATACAATAAAAGTTATAAAATGCAGAATATGATCTGCATTAAAACACAGAAAGTAATATATGTCTGGCATAAAACTGCTTAAAATCATATAAGATAGAACATACAAAATAAAATAAGGTTTAGGGTAAGGTTACTAAAAAGGATCTTAAATACTTTGATGTAGCCCGGATCCCCTCAGTCACCATGGCTAGTAGCCACTGATAGACCTGTCCTCCATGAATCCATCTAATCCCCTTTCAGTCACATTTGGGAGTATCCTCACTGTGCAGTTAAGATACTATCAACAAAAAACAAAATAAAATAACTGAGTTTTGTTATTTTCATTTCCTGGATGGAAATTGCTAATTGAGAGTATTAACTTTGGGGCTGTTTGCTTTCAGGCATTCCCTGCACCAACAATACTTTTAAGTGCAATAATAACATTTGCTTCAGAAAAAGAAATGCAAAATGTGATGGGATAGTGGACTGCCTTGACAGAAGTGATGAAAGCAATTGTAGTAAGTCTGCCTTGCGTACAATCCTAATAATTTCCTGATAATAAGTAAGCATTTGATTTTTCACATGGGTATGTCAATCAATCTGAAGCAGAAACAAATCACTACCTTGCTTTGAAATAATTGATTAAAATGATCAAGGATGCCAACTCATATAGTACTAAGTAGGTATCTTGGTAGGTATCTTAACCAAATAAAATGGGCTACAATCCCATAAAACGGTATACATGCATGTATGAAGCAATAGTGATTTGAAAGACCATCCAGCTGAATAGGCAGGCCACTTTTCCATTTCAATTCAACCTGCCTGTTTAGGTGAGGGAATGGCAGAAGATCTACACAGTACCTCTAGCTGTGCATATACTTCCCCCCTACCCATGTGAAGATTTACAGCTTGGGCAATAGCATGTATTACTTGACAAATCATTTGAAACACAAACAGAGTTCACTATGTTTTATATGCACTGAAATCCTAATACAGTTGAAAACTCCTAGCGGTCTTTGAATTATGTGTGTGTTTGTGTTATGTGTCATCAATCCTATGAATTTATGAGCTCCGAAACATCCTATCATTACCAGCCCTGCTCAGGTCTTGCAATCTAAAGGATGTGGCTTCCTTTATAGAGTCAATCCATCTCCTGTTGGGTCTTCCTCTTTTCCTGCTGCCTTCAACTTTTCCTAGCATTATTGACTTTTCCAGTGACTCTTGTACTCTCGTAATGTGACCATAGTACAATAGCCTCTGTTTAGTCATTTGAGCTGCTAGGGAGAGTTTAGGTTTGATTTAATCTAGAACCCACTTATTTGTCTTCTTGGCAGCCCATGATATCAGTAAAACTCTCCTCCAACACACACTAATCTGTACATCTCAAGACCTAGTCACTGCGATAGCATTTTGCCCAGTATGGGTAACAAGGCCAACCCCTAACATTTGGAATCTCTAGCCAAAGAGGCCCAAGGAGTGCCCACCTGAGCCCCACAGCCCCATTCCTGTGCTCAGGCTAGCCCAACAAATTGTGAAGAATCATGTGCTTCAGAACTCCCACAAAAACAGCTTTTCTCCACAAGCCCATGTTTTTTTCTCATTGCTACCAGCCACAAGCTTGCACAACAATTATAACTGTAGTGGGATGTTGGCCATGATCCGGTGGATAGTGTCATGTCTCTGCACATGAAGTGAGGCATTATTCCTCTGAACATCAACTGTGGACACCACTAGAGGAGTCCTTTGAAACTTGGGGAGAGGTTTAAAAGGGGTGTGTAATGCCATGCAAAGAAAAACAAGTCAGATATATGCTGTTTATGCCCAGACTCTTATACACATCTAAAGGAAGTCTTTGAATCATGATTATTTCTTCTTTGATCAATCAGTGCTCCTGTGGAATATATGAGATTCCATTCATAAGTTTGTTATGCTTCCCATTCATGTCTCTTGGCTTTATTGCAAAGCAAAGGTACAATTTTTAAATGCATATTCCACACAGACAGAGAGTCACCACAGCCAGACACAAAATGGGTGAGATTTATCAGGATTGGGGGGGGGGGCATTTGCTGGAGATTGTCTAGGTGCCTGTCAAATGGATATCAGACTGTGTATGCATTCTGGATTGGGATGGTTATTTTAGACCCCTGGGATTGAACCAAAAAACAATTCAGGTACTTTTTAAAGACACTATAACTTCACATCGGTATTGACTGAAAATTCTGTAGTCCATTGTAGCTCATTACTACTGCAAGAACCATGTTGAATTGTTATCCTCTTTTAAGGTTGTGGCAGTACAAAATACAGTCATAAACTGCACCGGATTGTGGGGGGTTCTGATACGCAAGAAGGTGAATGGCCGTGGCAAGTCAGCCTCCTTTATGGTGGAGTTGCTTATTGTGGTGCGTCGGTTATATCAAAAGAATGGCTTCTCTCAGCTGCTCATTGCTTTCAGGGAAACAGGTGAGTCATTAGCTGGGGTTCATTCAGGGCCTATCCTTTCAGAAGTCGGTGGCATTGCCATGGGACAGCCATGGAGCACAATGGGTTCCCTGTTCTTCCATTAATTTGTCACGGTCAGCCAAGCAATGCAATCATGCAATTTCCAGTACCCGTTTAGGAAAATGGTTTGTCTTTCTTTGCATGTGCTAAGGACCAATGCACAAGACTGCCCAGCTCCTGGCGGCTGATTGCCTGTCATCTGCCCATAGCAATTACCTCTTCATGCCTCATGGGTCCTTTGATTTGTTTGGCACAAGGAGAAGCTGCTCTTTTGGCAAGCCATGGCTCCCTCTGCATCCCACAGAGGCAGGGGACTGCCACAGACAAGGGGAAAAAGGGAGGGTCACCTGACATAGGATAGTCACCAGTGTCAGCCCTAAGATATTTCCCCTTGCTCTCCTTTCAGGTTCACTGAGTTTATTGATTCATTTAGTATACTGTTGCTCTCCACATTACTTTTTTAAAACAAAGGCTGTGCTATTCACAATATCTACCGTCTGCTCATAGCAGTCACCTGCACATGGCTCTGTGACTCCTGACTTATTTCAACCCAGATATATGCAATATAATGTGAAGCAATACAGTATCACTAACACACTAGTTTCTTGCTTGCTCTGTAAAGTAATTACAATGTCACCAAATCAATCAATTATTGTTAACAATGGAAAATTCCTAGGAACAATGGTGCAGTTTTTTTCATCTCTCAACCCCCCCCCCCTCATCAGCATAAAGGAAGGGGTTTCAAACTTTTTGACATTTGGCCCCCATCTAAACTTTCTCTGCCTCCCAGTTGCCTCCTCTGCATCTTATTTGGACAGAACTCTAACTAATTGGTCTTTATCCAACTCATTACTTCAACCAGATACCAGGTCAGTACATCCACCATTGCACTTGGTTGTGCTGAGAAGATATTGGTTATTATCAGTGCTGGTGATACTTCACTCCAAATGTCTTGACATGTAAATGTAAATGCCAGTTTGGTGTAGTGGTTAAGTGTGCGGACTGTAATCTGGGAGAACCAGGTTTGATTCCCCACTCCTCCACTTGCACCTGCTGATGTGACCTTGGGTTAGTCACAAGCTCTGGCACAGCTGTCCTTGAAAAAGTGCAGTTTGTGTCAGGGTTCTCTCAGTCCCACGCACCTAACAGGGTGTCTGTTGTGGGGAGGGGAAGGGAAAGGAGTTTGTAAGCCGCTCTGAGACTCCAAGTGAAGGGCGGGGTATAAATCCAATCTCTCTCTCTCTTCTTCTTCTTCTTCTTCTTCTAAATCTTAAGCAGCCTGGGGGGACAAGATGGAACCTTGTGGAACCCATAGCACAAATCCCATGGAGATGAGTAGTTGTCCCCTTTGAATGTTGGTTGGCCAGGCAAGATTGCAACCTCCAGAGTGTGGTGATCCTACATTTATCTGACTTTTGTGTTAACAAACTCATTTAAAAATTAGAGCTCTCCTGCCGTGTCCCAGAATTTCTGGATTCTTACATATTAATTTGTTTTTTATTAGATTATCAGATCCCAGAACCTGGATAGCTCATTTGGGAATGCGCACTAAAGGGAAAGCCAAATTCATCTCTCCTGTGCGAAGAATCATTGTTCATGAATATTATAACAGTAGAAATTATGACTATGACATTGCCCTGCTACAGCTAAGCACACCGTGGCTTGACACAATGAGATGGCTAATTCAACCGATATGTGTACCACCTACCATACACAAAGTGCACACTGGGGAGAAGTGCTGGGTAACAGGCTGGGGACAAAAGCAAGAAGCAGGTGAGATCATTTCCCACCATGGACATAAAAGTTTGGTTTCCTCAATATAAAAGTTTGGTTTCTTCTGGGATTCAGAAGCTTAGTGCCTCTTAATATGGAGGTTCCCCTCAGTCACCATGGCTAGTAGCCATTGATAGACTTGTTCACCATGAATCTGTTTATTCTTGTGGCCTTCACTATACCCTCTGTCAGCAAATTCCATGCTTTAATCCCTCTCTGTGTAAAGTAGTATTTCCTTTTGTCCATCCTGAACCTACTGCCCATCAGCTTCATTGGATGCCCTTGAGTTCCAGTATTTTGGAAAAGGGAGAGAAAGAGACTCTGAATTGGGAAGCCCGTGGTAGATCAGTATATGTGCAACTGAGTGAGTTTGGCAAGCATGCCCATAGCCACGGGGGCATTTGAGGTGATCCCCCTTCCAAATGTGCCCTGCCCCCTCACTACCCATCCCTCCTGGTCCCCCTCTCCACTCACCTTCCCCCCCTGAGCCTGCATGAGCTGCCGCTTCTCTACAGCCCAGCTGCAGAGTGTCGAACTCTCCAAAGCAGAGCAGGGAAGGGGTGGGAGACCGACTGCGCAGCTCATTCTCAGCTGGCTGTGCAGGTGCAGTGAAGTGCCAGGGAGATCATAGTCTCCTGTCTGCACAGGCACAGTGAGGCACTGGGGCAGGCCTGCCCAGGTGCCACTGCATGTTTTGCCTCGGCTTCCTTTCTCTTGCTAAGTTCACCTGGTAGATGGCAGCCCAGCTGTTGGCCTGGTCGAGCTGGTGGAACTCCTTTTCTCTCTCTATGGGTTGGGGGCCCCAAGGCCCGACTGGGCTGTTCCTGTCCCCAGTCTTGACCACATGGCAAGACTTCTCTCTGGGAGCACCACTGTGTCTCCCCTTTCCTTGCGCCCTCCTCCTCTTTCCCTTCCCCAGCACACAGAAGATGATGCAGGCTGCCCAGCCCACATGTAGGAGACGGGTAGTTTCTGGTGGGGAGAGAGGGCCCTTTCTCCAGCTCTTCTCATCAGTCACACACATGAAGCTGCCTTATACCGAATCATACCACTGGTCCATCAAAAAAGTATTGTCTACTTAGACTAGCAGTGGCTCTTTTGGGTCTCAGGCAGAAGTCTCTCACATCTCCTGTCTGGTCCTTTTTTAAAACCGGAGATGCCAGGGATTGAACCTGGGACCTTCTGCATGCCATGCAGATGCTCTACCACTGAGCCATGGCCCCTCCCCTTATTTATTTATTGTGACATAGGCACGTGACATCCGAAGTGATGTGGGCACGTGCCCCCACTGAATACTTTCTGGCTATGGGCCTGTTGGAAAGAACATGAGGGGAATACCTGAGGCACACAGGAGACGATAGATGGAGCAGGAACAGCTACAGGAGAGCCAGACAGTTCAGGAGTTACAAGCAGATAATGTTTAATAAAAGACGTTTCCCTTTTTACTCTTGCCTGACTCTCAGCTAATTGCTATCCCATTTGAAATACCTCATTCTACTGTGAACTCAGTACATGGTCACTTTCTAACCCGCTTTCCGATTTACGTTGCTAATCTTCCATAGAGGGTTGAAATCATTAAGAAAAGAAAATCCATTAGTGTTATCATTACATGTCCTTGGATGAAAGTTCCTATAGATTTCAGTGGGATATTCTTCCAGGTAAAGACTTGGCAAGTTTACCGTGCATTGAGAAGAGCTCCGATGGCATTGTTATTAAGGAAATTATCTTGAGCAGCAAATGGAGCTTTACTACTAGAAATTATCTTCTTGCTTTCATTATTAAGCTTAAGTCTACTTTTCAGATGATGAAGGATCAGCAATACTACAAAAAGCAGAAGTAGAAATTGTGGACCAAACACTGTGTCATTCAACATATGGGATTACCACAGCACGGATGCTGTGTGCTGGGGTGGTGTCTGGGAAAAGGGATAGTTGCAAAGTAAGTATTTGCTGTCTCATCTAAACGCATTTCTTAGCAAACAATTCTGTACTGCTTATCTGATAACTGCAGAAAAAGTCAGTCCTGTAATGAGAAACATTATACAAAACCTAATGGTGTCAGTGCCATGAACTGCAGTTAGCACATAATGCACCAATCAAATTTGCTGCAACATTTCTGTATATCATCAGTATCTAAGGCCAAATTGTCACAAACAGCAGATGAAATAGAAAATTAAGATCTGAAGGTACTTGACCAAACTGAGACACATGATCAAATGTTCTTCCATGCAAAACAAGCTGGTGTACATAGAAAACTAGACATTAGGGTGAATAGTTATGGCTTAACTTTCTGTGAATGATACTAGTTTTCTACAATGCAAGGATTTATTTATTTTTTGTATGAGGGAGAATTTAATAATATGAGACCTCACTTTTAATCTGGTCGTATAATCCCACCATAAATTTGCTACCTGGTGCTTTTGAGAACTAGACCCAAGCTCACAGTGCATACTGAGGGTTTGCTTGCAGAATCAAGATTCTGAAGTTGTTAAAATGCCAGAGTACAGAAAACCAGAGGTTTCAGCTTCATAACCCTTGACATTGCTTTGGGTCATTCTCAGACTGATAGTGTAATCCTAAACAGTGTTATACCCTTCTAGGCCTATTTACTTCAAAGGATTTAGACAGGTGTACTTTAGGATCACACTGGTAGTGTAGCACCTTTCAGTCTACAATCCTTCCAATACAATTGGTTGCCATTTTGTGTAAATAGGGAAATATGTTTATTTTTGACCTCTGGTATGTGCAAATCCATACCCTTAAGTAATCTGGGTTTCTTATAGTGTTTCCAATCTCTGGGTGGAGCCTAGAGATCTCCCAAAATTATAACTGTTCTCCAGATGATGGAGATCAGTTCCTCTGGAGAAAATGGCTGCTTTGGAGGGTGAGGTCTATTGGTATCACATCCCTACTGAGCCCCCTCCAAGCTCTGCCCTCCCCCAGGCTCTACTCCCAAATACCTAGGAATTTGCAACCAGGAGTTGGCAACCCCATTTCCAGTCACACATATCTGAAGCTAGAACCACATGTATTACAAGCACTGCATGTCATTGGATCACCAAAACTGCACTGACTTGTGTTTCCGTGAATTAGATTTTCAGTTAAAATCCTTGTTTAGTCATATTTGTGCGCCCTTTCTTCAGCTTCTGCTTATCTTTCGGAAGGCATGTATTTCTGCACTGCTCATTTTTGTCTGAATTAGGACTGGCAACCAGTTTTCTAGCAATCCAGCAGAGTTTCTATGGCTTTTATGTGGCAGGCTGGTTTCTATTGGTGAACTTCCTTTTCCTCATTGCATCTCAACCCTAGAGAAACTGAACAGTTATTAGAGGCACAGGAGACATGGCAACACTGACATGAAGGTCAGGCCCATATCCAGGATTTATTTTTTCAGGGGGCATTTAATTATTATTTTTTTGGGGGGGGGAATTTTTAAAGAACCCTTACTTCCAAGTAGACCAAGTAGAAACACAAGTGTGAGGAGAAGGAGCTGGGACTGAATGGCAAAAAGCCCCCCACCCCGCTTATGGAAAGTGAACCCTATTTTTCTCTAAGCCGCTGCCTTGAACTCCACAAGTTGGCGGAAAATACGAGGAGGGAGCGGGGGAGGAAGAAGTGGTGCTCTGATCCTCTGAGTTGCAGCTTGCCACTGCTGCTATCGTTACTGCTGCTGTTTTGTGCATGGAGTGTCACAGGGCTGAGGGATGGTTGGGCGGGCAGGTAGGACTGCATACCACCCACCCCCAAAACAACCACAACAAAGCCTTGCCTGGCCTGGCACACGAGCATGTGCTCCCCCCTCCCCCCAAGTGCCGCAAAGAAGATGCAAAGAAGTGCCCGGCCATGGCCCCTTGCCTGCAGGCAGCCTGGACAGGCAAGGAACACCTCACTTCTCTCTCCTCCCTTCCCTCTTCCCTCCTCTGCTGGAGAACACAGCAGACCGGCTGGCTGGAGCCTGGATGAGAAGGCCGGCTCGGGCGCTGCAGTGGGGTGGGGCAGCTACATTTAAACTTAAAAAAAAACATTATTATGAGTTTAAAGAAAGAGTTTGTGGGGCGGGGCATGTGATTAAGGGGGCATGCCCCCAAAATGTGCACCATAGTTACGGGCTAGATAAAGGTGCTTACTGTTATATACCAATCCAGAGTTTAAATTCCTTTATTCCTTTACTCAGGAGCAATTTTTATCAACATTGCTAAATGTTTGCAATCATAGAATTATTTAAAATTTTGTTTTCAAGATTGACTTTTGGAAAATTATATCTTTTTTTAGGGAGATTCTGGAGGACCTCTGTCATGTCGAAGCAAAGGTGATGGAAAGTGGTTTTTGATTGGAATTGTCAGTTGGGGTTATGGCTGTGGAAGAGCCAATTTTCCTGGAGTATACACAAGGGTGTCAAATTTTGCTACATGGATCCGCAAATATGTGCCTTCAGTTTTTTAATTTAGCAACAATAAAACACAGAGTCAACAATGAAATATTTCCATTAAAATCATACTTATTAAGCAATTGGCTGTGTTTTCCATTTGTCACTCTGCATGTCACCCCACAAGTTTGCAAATAAATTGTATGCCTCTGTGTTTATTATGAAACATACACAAACAGAGGTTTTGAAAGACTGAGATCCTATCTCTTTTAACCTCAGATGTCATGAAAACACTCTGTACTTTATCTGATCTTTGTGGCTTGGATTCTGCCAAAAATATCTATATATAGTGTGACTTTCCCCCACCCCTGCTGCAACCCCAAATGCCCCCCAAATGTTGCTTCCGTGGCACATGGGAGCCTCTCCCCTCCAGGCTCAGCATAGTTATGCTTTACATATACAAGGCTATAAATAATGAGCTTTGTGATGTTTAATTCTTGTATTTTCAACGACAGGATGCCATCAGAAGAGTGATGACACCAAGAGAAGGACGAACCTCTCGAGTAATCATTCGTTTCGAAGAGTTTCTTTTTCAAACAGATCTCAGTTCTGTAGTTTTTCTTAATATGACCAAACCGCAATGCAGTTCTTACACTCAACAACTCTTTGTTTCAGCTCTTGTGTCCGATTGAAAGACTTGGTAGCTAAGAGCTGAAACAAAGAGTTGTTGAGTGTAAGAACTGCATTGCGGTTTGGTCATATTAAGAAAAACTAGAGAACTGAGATCTGTTTGAAAAAGAAACTCTTCGAAACGAACGATTACTTGAGAGGTTCGTCCTTCTCTTGGTGTCATCACTCTTCTGATGGCATCCTGTCGTTGAAAATACAAGAATTAAACATCACAAAGCTCATTAATAGTCTATTATTGTCCATCTTTTTCACTGTAAGAACTTTGCAGCAATTTGTGTTTTGATGTCTATTGTATTGCTGTTCCCTTGATTGCTATTACATATACAAGGTACTAGGTTTGATTCTCTTGCATTTCCAGTTAAAAGACTCCAGTGCAGGTAAAGGCTTATGCATCAGACCTTGGAGAACTTCTGCCAGAGGGAGAACACTGATCTGTCCCAGTATGAAGGTCAAAATAGATATTATCTTGGCATGAAAAGTAGAAATTAAAATGAAAGCTATAGGATGAGTTATTGGCCAAAAACTGGAGAGAACTAGATTAAAATCTCCACTTTTTTTGTGAAACTCATTGTATGGCCTTGGGGTTGTGTGTGCAACAAAATAGGAAGGGGTTAGGAAGGACAGAAAAACTGCACCCATTGCTTTGAACTCATTGGATACAAATGACATACATACTAACAGTTATCTTGATGAATGCTTTGCATATAATCTAATCCCACATGGTTCTCTAACCCAGTGCTTACTGAGGGCTGGCCAAGCTACATGTTTCACAGTTTGGTGTGATGTGTTGGTGTTCCCCCAACCTGACCTGTAAGCAGTCAGTCACATCATGTCATACTGATGGGAAATTATTTCCCAAGCATGTGTGGGATTTGGACTGAGACTGTGGCACGGGAAAAGAAGGGGCCTCGCCCTGCCCAACACATAATTTTTCCAACCTGAAATGGCCTGTGTACTAACTAGGGCTGTCAACTCTGGGTTAGGAAATTCCCGGAGATTTGGGGAGGGAAATTTAAGGAGCCTGGGGAGGGCAGGGTTTGGGGTGGTAAGAGACCTCAGCACGATATAGTGCCATACAGTCCACCAGGACTGTAGAAAAAGCCCAGCAGGAACTCATTAGCATAATAGGTCACACCCAACAGCAGGAACTCAATAGCATATTGGGCCACACCCCTGACAGCACAGCTCATTACCACATTAGGCCGCACCCACATGTTACCAGAAGTGTGGTTATCCAGCCACACCCACCTTTTGCTTGTTATTCTGTTTACCTTGTTTGTTGTCAAAACCCAGGGCCTTTTTTTGTAGCAGGAACTCCTTTGCATGTTAGGCCACACACCCCTAATGTAGCCAATCCTAATGAGTTTCTGCTGTTGGGTGTGGCCTATTAGGCTAATGAGTTCCTGCTGGGCGTGGCCAACTTGGGAGCCAGCCGGAACTCCGTTCCTGTGCGTTCCTGCCCAAAAATAGCCCTGCTACACCATCTAAAGCAGCCATTTTATCCAGGGTAACTGATATCTGTAGTCTGGAGGTCACTTGTAATTCCAGGACATCTCCAGGCCTCACCTGGAAGTTGGTAATACTATACTACTAATGAGTTGTATGTGCAGACCCCCAATGTAGAAAATAGTACCTGGAGATGTTTTGGGTTGCAAACATGCTGTGGTTGAAAGGCTGAAGCCCTTTCCCCCACCCCACACTGAATTGGTGCCCTGCATGCTTGGAAAATTAGTTTCTATCTGTGTGATGTGTGTCACTGCATGATGTGCTTAGACATCATGCTGGGGAAACCCCAAGCCAACACATCATATTGCCTAATGTGTAGTCTGGCCATGGGATAGCAAAAATGTAGGAGAAGGGATCATGTATATAGGGGAAAGGGACAAGAGATATTTCTCATACAAATCCCCTGCAAGGTTGTTTTCCCTCACCCAAGTTTACTTGCTTGTGAGAACAGCTTGCTTCCTGTAACAGCAGAGCAGTATGAAAAATGGGGGAGATAACCTCATATTGTGTCCCTCATTTGTCCTTCAGTTGCTCTGTGCCTGTTTGATATATATATGAGTGTGGGAAGAACTAGTACCCACAAAGGCACACCAGCTTCCCTGACTTTCCCCAGACAAAACTTTGAAGTAGAGCCCTAAGTGGGACATCACCAGTGATGAGGTGCAAGCACAAGTTGACAGCTGTTTCCAGTGCACCTTAGGACAGGTGACCCCAGCCATGTTCAGCCCAGGTGCACTTTTGGAAGTCTGAACAATGATAGTGGATGCCACCACAAAGTAGCTACAAAGCAGGATTGTGCCACTCACATAATGGGAATGGGATTGACTCTTTGCTTTGGAAAAGAGATGTTATTTAGTTTCAGTTTCCAAAGAAAAAGAAGGGTTTTCTCCCTCATGGCCACAGGGACAGGTTACCCAACCCAGAGACACAAAAAGTCTGCATCTACAGACATGGTAGTAACAAACCTGACCAGCATTTCAGCAGTTTTAATAATCAGTAAGTTTGTAGGGAGTGACCTAAAGCTCCTTGATGAGATCTTTTGGATTTTATCCCCAAACTTTGAGGAACAAGTGAGCACCAGGAAACACATTGGTGGGATCCATATAGGTATTGCTGTCCTATGACAAATTCTAGAAAGGGGGGAAATGGGTTCAATAGCATCATAGTTCCTGTTCAGATATGGTGGTGCTTATTCACTCATTTGACCATAGAGCTTAATGGTCCTCATTTGCACACACATGACTGCGGCATCGAATGATGACTGATGACGGGAATGAATCATTACATATATTAATAAACCAGCAAAAATGATACCATTACATGAAATTAGTTCATGCATTCAACTGTTCATTCAATTAGTTCATAAATTCATACATTAGCCACCTTGGGAACCCTTGTGAGGGCAGAATGGCATGATATAAATTATGTAAATAAAATAAGTAACCTAATAAACTGATGGTTACCCAGTGTCAAGAAATCAGTGTTATACATGTGAATGAGCCCTAAAACACTAATGTCCTCTGCAAGGCCTAATGATTTAGGCTTGGCTCCTATGGACAAGTTCTACATGCTCTAGATATGGTCTTGGATTCTATGTATCTCCAGCAGAAAGCTTCGCTGGTCTGAGATTTTTTCCACCTTTTCCTACCTCCTGGAACCATTTCTGATCCTGGAAGAATTCATTCCCAAGATTGAGGGGCTGGTGTAATAATGGCCACGCCTAGGCTTGCCAAGTCCCCCCGGGTACCGCTGATCTGCCGCTGGCAGATCAGGCCCCGGGGGGAGCCCCACTCTATGGTTTTCCCTCGGATGGTCGTGTCCCCGCCCCCAGTGTGCCTGGCGTCGTCACATCACTTCCGGGTGGCGTGCGTGCGGTGCGTGTGCACGTGCGTGCTCCAGCCGCAAATTGGGAGTCCCTTGCTGCGGCGCAACGCCGGACTTGGCAACCCTAGCCACGCCCATCAGGTGACTTTAGTGGGGAGGGGGAGGGAATGGAGCTCTGGTCACAGAAGAGAAAGAAAGTAATAATTTTCTTTCCTTCGTCTTTCTACTGCAGTTATCCAACCAGTGTGGTTATTAGCACATGCAGGTTCTTCAATTCTTTCATGATCTGTGTAGGACTGGGAGAACAAGGCCTTGAGGCCTAGGCCCAGGAGAGACCTGTGTGGGAGTGGAAAGCAGACAGCCTACAATCGCCACAATGCTTAGCGACGGTTGTAACCAATCTGTGTCCAGGGATTGTGTGAGGAGATTGTGACTTAAGCTTTGTGGGCTGTGGAACTGTATTCTTTTCTCTACTGTGTTCTTTCCTCTCTCAGAGTTAAACTGAGGGAACAGTGTGGTCTGAGAGAAAGATCCCTCACTTGGGACAGAGTGAGTACAGGCACAGGCCTGGTATAAAAGGCTGTGGGCCTTGAATAGTATCCAGTCAAGAGAGATAGTTAGTCATGTTACATTTGTTTTATTTTACCTTTAAACACTGTTGTATATTTTAAGCACCTTGTCTTGTTTTCCTTGCCCCATTACTGTATTAATAAACCATTTGTTTAATGTTCTCTGCCTGGTCATCACTCCTATAGTTCTTGGCTTGAAGGGGCATTTTGGTTGGGCTTGGGAGAGTACTCTGGGCCTTCCCAAGGGACCCTATGTCCAGAGTGGTGGCAGAGGAATGTGGCAACCCACTAGGGATCATGACAAACCCCCAGGAAGAAGCTTTATTGGGATTCAAAATGGCTTTAGGAGGAAGAGATGGTGGGAACTGGGGGAACCAAAACAAAGTCTGCTGCAGAACATGCTTTTTCTTGCATTTGTATATCCATTTGCACAAAGCTCAATGAAATCAAAGGAGCTTGTACAGATGGAAACCTCTGGTTCTCCTTAT